GTTAGTGTAGGTTGAATATTAACAGCTGATACCATTAGATTTGTCGCGTCTATTCATTAGAAGAACAGATTTTCCAAGTTTATAGTTGAGAATAATGAACTAAAAAGAGAGAAGGCTGAATTCTCGGCTAAGGAAGAGGGGTTTAGAGCTAGAATTGTAGAATTAGAACGGAATACTGAGAATGAGAAGCAAAATCAGATAGAAAATTCTAAACGAAACTAGAACGTGATATTAAGGAGATTAAACAGAAACAAATTACACCTATTGAAAACCATCTCGATAAAAGGAATGCGCAGATCACTGAATCGATTCCTAAGGAATCTGATATAACTGATGACACTACAAATTCTGATGAACATCAAGAAGAGACTAAGTCTCGAGTCTTCAATTCATCTTCGACTGCATTATCCATATGCGTAAAGTCTAAATCAGAAGGTAAGGAAATGGATTTGTAAAGAAAAGAAGCTTCAACGTACATTCCCCTGCCAAAAATCACTGGAAGTCGATCAAATTACTTAGTAAAACATAGTAAAAATCAAAATTTTTGTTTTACATTAAAGTTTATAATTTTAATAAAAAAATTTTTTTTAATATATCAAAATAAAGACAATTGATCATAATTTAATATACTGTATACAGTGTGGGTCAAAAATAATTGCACTACACATTAATTTTTATTTTTGTAATATTTTAATAATCAATTATAAAATAAGATAAAAAATCTATATTAATGTATTTATTTAAGAGAAATAATAAAAATTGTTAAAATTATTTTAATGTATAGATTTGTTAATTAAAAGTTGTAATAATAATAATATAATAATTATTATTTTTTTATTAAGTACAAAAAATTATTTAACAATTAACTTAATTTAAAATTTAATCGAATTTTACTAAACAATATAAATTTTATATTAAATATAGAGTTTTTAAAGGTTTTAAAGATTTTTTTAAAATAATTTTATATAATAAAAAAACAAACCAATTTTAATAACATTTATTAAATATAATAAGTCTTTTATAATTTTTTTATGAGCTTAAAAATTTTATTTATTTTATATTTAATTTTTTTTTTTTTTTTAAATAGACAAACATCAATTTTTTATTTATTTATATATTTCAAGATATATATTTAGAAAAAATTAACATCTTAAGTACAAAGCATACAATATATTAAATGCTAGCCTGCCTACTAAAACTATAAATAGCTAATACTGAAAATAAATAAAATTTTATTTATTTATTTTTTTTATTGCAAATAAGCATAAAATATATGACTTTATTGATTAATTTAATAATATTATCATTATATTAAGCATCTATTTAAGTTATGGTTCCAAAAATTGGAATCGAACAGAATTGCAAGGAATCGCATGAGGTTCAGAACACTATTAAAAATGATAGTGGGGTATACCCATATATTAAATTTAATATAAACTTGAGAATCAAATACAGAATCAAAGAGAATTATTAAGATCCTTAATTTAAATTAATACTAGCTTATTGTATAAAAAACTTCTAAAACAATAAAAACATCATGTGAATAAAACCTAAGAATCAAAGTTTTAAACTGAAAACTGATTGATCAGCAAATCGATTTCGGTTCAGATCAGTTCGATTTTTAAAATTTTTAAATCAATAAAAATCAGATTGGATTGATTTTAAAATTTTATAAACTGATCAGATCAAATTAGTTTAGTTTCAGTTCAAATCAAAACCAATTTTGATTTTTTATATTTTATATTTAAATAAAAACAAAAATAAAAAAATTAAATCAAAATAAAATATATAAAGTAATAAAATAAAATGATCAAAAATTTTTTATAACTTGATTTTGCTTTATTTTTTTATAATATAGGATTATAAATAAAAAATTTTTTGATGATTTTACTTTTGTTGTTTTTATCATTTCTTTATATTTCAGTAAGTTTATTTAATATTGATATTTTTTTTGTTTTAACAGTTATTGTTTGACTTCTTATTAATAATTTTTTTAGTAATTTTTTAAAATGGAACATGAAAATTCTTCTGACAATTTTAATTTTCAATATATTAATGATGAAACTAGCAGCTTAATTAGTTATAAAAACAGCAATATCAATAATATTATTACAAGTAATTTATTAAAAACGTATTATCTTTTACAATAACAAACTGAAGCAAAGTATGAAGCTATTTTACAATAGACTTGAATTTTAAAAATATTAAAAAAGTGACTTGTAACTATTGCAAGGCTACATATGTTTGCAGTAAAGGCAATATTACTAATATATATAAATATCTTGAAAGATACAGTAGTTGATATAAAGATTTGGAATTTGATCTGATTCATAAAAAATCATATAATTATATCTTTTTTTTTATATCAAAGCCTCATATATAATATTTACTTTTTTTTTTTGTCTGTTCCTGCATCCTTTAATAAAAAAAAAACAAAAATATTACACGATTCTAGACTTTCAGCACAAAGAATAGTTGTAAGTAAGCTTTGGACTAATAATATACTAAAGCCTGTTGAAATTATATAAATAATAGATTTTCTGAAAACCACAATATACAGCATTGTCAATTAGCTTAAAAAAAGATCAATTATCACATCACTTCCTATTTTAGGAAGACCTCAAATTCTTTTGTCTTCACAAAAACATCATCTTGGCCAGATCGTTCAAATGAATAATGCTGTTACCATGGTTGAAATAACTGAAAGGCTTATTCAAAAAAATCTCAATACAAAGGTTTCTATTCACACTATCCAGCGCATATTAAAAAAAAACCTTTAGTTTATTGTTTGCTGCCCACTTTGGATTTTTTTTCTTTGTTCTTCTCACATTATTGCTTATCTTAAATAGGTTTAGAATTATGTTTATAATAGTTGGATCCATACTATTTTCTTAGACAAAACAATTTTCCAGATGTTTTGAAACATTCAATTAGTAAAGCATTATCATGGAAGCCCGCGACCACACTGTAGCTTAGTAAAATATTCCTATTAAGTTTATGCTTGAAGTGCATTTTTTATGTGGAATTAATTTTATTTTATTTTATTTTATTTTTTTTTTTTTTCACTAAAGTGAGACTTTACTCTAGTTTATTAATATATGTGTAAAATTTTATATGCAAATTACATACATAAAGATTAAACTATATTATTTTATATTAACTAGAATCCACCCACAGGTAATATACCATCCAGGTGTAGCCTGCCACCTTGCTTGCTATCCAAGCCTACCTTAGCTCTATTTATTTGATTCTCTTTCCACTTTTTTGTTCACTACTTAACCATTCTGTTATGTATCCTAACTTATTTTTCTTTTCTTTTATATCTTTTCCTTTATATGCTATTTCTCGTATTTTACTTACTTTTCTAATTCTTTTTATCCTTTCTTTGCCTTCCCTATTTCCTTTTTTCTTTATACTCTTTATCTTTTTCCATTCTCCTATCCCCAGGTTTCTTTTTTTCCAAATTCTTTTTGCCACTCTATCATTCTGTTTATCTCTTTCATCACTTCTTCTGCATTCTGGTTATTTATTCCTTTCAGGATTCTCGTCCAGCTCTTTGGTATCATTCCTTGTATTATCCAGGCCCAGCTGATCTTCATGTTCTCTTTCTTCATCTCTTGTCGAATTTCTTCTTGTTTCTTGTTTTTTTCTTCGATCATTAGATTCTCCTTAATGTGTTATTTCATTATACCTATGATTTCTTGTTTTAGGCTTGCTATTTGTTGTTTTGCTAATCTGCACTCCCATACATGTATCTGATCTTCTTTTCTTTCCCCACATCTTATGCATTTTTCATATCGCTCATGTTCTTTGTGATTTCTTGCATTTATCTTTTCTAGTGTAGGTAGTTCACTGTTGAACTTTTTTTCTATCCATCTGAAATTGCTTCCTTCTTCTTCACTGCTCCTTATTGTTTTCTTATATCTTTTCCATGTTGCTTTCCAATCAATTTGTTGTCTAGTTAGTAGGTCTCGTATTTGCTTATTTCTTTTCAGTTTCAGCTATTCTGTAATGTTTTTGATTTTATTACTTATTTTCCATATCTATAACAATCTTGACCTGTAACTGTACCACGGGACCCATACTGTGCCTAGCGACCCAGATGCCCCAAAAGGTATCTGATCTGCCCCTGATGACCTGTAAGTCTGAGACACACTCCCAGACACTTGTCAGACGTATGTATGGTACTATTCTGACCCCTGACAATGTGCTATGCCGCCAAGACGCCACTAATTAATTACTATGAGCTAATGTAACCAAATTAGGAGCATAAGGCTATAGAGCGTGCATATTGTTTATATTATTTTCTTTTTACTTCCTTTTATATTTCTTTATGTTAATTAAGTACATATGTCTTTGGAGGTTAAGCCTTATATAGATATATGTATTTTTATATTTATTTATTTATGTATTTTTACATTGTATGAAGCCAATATGTATAAAAGAATGCCCTTTTGACCTTAATAAAATTCCAACTCTGTTGGCGTTAAAATAATAATCGCTCAAGTTCACTGTCTTTTTAAAGTCACTAATAATTTTATTAAGACTTTTACAATATCTTTTTCCAGCCTTTGTTTTGCGTTCCTTCTCTCCATATAATTTCTCTGTCTTTTCTAGTTTCTATTTTTTCTTCCATGATCCTTGACTTTTTTTGCTGCTTCTTAGTTTCCTTATCCAGTTCTTTGAAGATGTGGTCTTGCTTTTCTTCACTTATCATTTTGCTGTTCATTTGATCTTTTCTTTTTCTCTTATTGCTGCTTCTAGCTTGGCCAGTACCACTCCTTCCCTACTCTGTCTTTATAACTCTTTTCTCATCTTTCCCCCTCCATTTATATACTGTTTTATTATTTTTAAGTCTGTTATTATTTTGACCTCCCTCTCTATGTCCAATTGTCCTATGCCTACTATTATCGTTTCCAGCTCTGCCTGTAACACGCTTTGTGTTATATTCTCCCAAGTACCTTTTTCCACTTCTTTCCCGCTTTCAAAATATTTCCATACTCATGTACCCTTTTTTCCCTCCTTGTTCTATGCTACATCTGTGTATACTTTCTTATACTTTCTCTCTTCTATTCTCTTCTATTTCATCATATTTTTCCCAGTTTCTCTCATTCATAATTCTTCCCTGAGTTCTTGTGTTCATATCTTGATTTGCTGGGTTACTCTTTTTTCTTCTATTTTGATCTTCTTGACTGCTGGATACCACGTTTCTGCTATTTTCTTGTCAAACAGACACACTCCCTCTTTGTTGTATTCATCTAGTATGCACCCTTTGCATTCTTTTAAATTCTAATATACTCCTTGCTCTTCATTGTGCATAATTCTTGCCCTCGTTTTATTGATTTTCCTTTTCTTTCTTCTCACTATTACTCTTTCGCTGTTTCCAAATGCAATTCATCTAATTCTTTTCATATTTGTTTCTTTGTTCTTTCTGGGTATTGCAATGTGTTTCCAG